CCATAAAGAATGACTCTGAGCTGTGTTTCTACAATAAAGTGCCTCTAGGAAAGGCACAAACTGTTTTTCCCAGCCAATGCAAAAGGCATTTGCCTCCCTATCACCACAAAAACAATATTAAGCAGCTGCTCAGCAATCTTTCTGAAGGCATTTCTGTCACTGGTCAGAAGAATTTAATAATGTCTAGATTTAATCCCAGAATGGAGACAGGGTGTACAGAGGCTGGGTATGAAGTTCAAGTTTTTTCAATACAAGGGAGCAGCTGGAGGTATTCTGCCTTGAAGCATTTAGCGAGGGCCAAATGAGCAGACCGGACAGGACTCTGGCAAATTATACTTTAGAGTTCATTTTTTCATTTCTTGCTGGAATCACTCTCTCAAGGAACCTGGTAGGGAGTTCTCTATGCACCCTTTCTTTTTTTTCTTTTTTTTTTTTTTTTTTTGTCTAATTAGTCTAAAGGACTAATTTGGCTGGAATTACAAGCAGCCTACCTGACAGCCAGGAAGTTAAGCAAAAACACCTTTAAGGTACATACTATCAGCTCCTATAGTATTGGGCAGCGGAACAAGGGTCTGGAGTGTCAACGGACTTCCTAGTAGACAGAATCTGGGCTGTGAAAGAGAGCAGCCTCACCACTCCAGGCTTTGTGGCCCTTACACAGAGGCAATACCCTCTGAAGGTCAGTGCACGTGGCGTTGTCTCCTACTTCTAAGTTGGATGCTTCCAGTGACTGGGATTTACACAGCAACAACCCTTCATTTCTCTGCTCTTCCACCTCACCCTTCTCTGTTCATCTACAAAATGGTCATCTTTAGACCAAGATGGCAATCTTGGCTCTATTCTTCACAAAATGTTTTTTGGCTAGTGGTAAAGGGTGCTTGGCGAGGCCTGCAGAAGCAAGTTGTCACAGTGAATGAAGCATTTGTAGTCGTTTGCATAAAGCTCAATCTCAGTAGTACCAGATGTTTATCCTGTGAAACATATATTCTCCCTGTTCCTATTTTATTATTTTGCCCTGTAACTCTAGAGGAAAGATCGAGTTAAAGATCACAAAGCCTGCATAGAAAAGAGGTAAAAAGTCCCAAAAGTCCAATTGGAGGGAGCAGGCTGTAGAGAAACACTGAGTATTTAGATAAGGAAATAAAGTCAAAATTGCTGAACACTTGACCAAGATTCTTTTCACCACACCCCATACCCAGAGCACCCCCTCTCCAGACTCATTATGAGGCTGTCTGTGACCTTCAGTAGTGGAAGTACTTCTCAGTCTGTACCTGTTGGCAAATAACAAAGCTCCTGCAAACACTAATCACTCCCAGCATTTGCCATCACCTCCCAGTTAACTGTCCTCACTCAAATCATTTTCCATCTCTCCAGCTTTTCCAACAACTCTGTCATGTCACCTTCCAGCAAGACGCAGCTTATCTTCTGCACAGAAAAGCAGCATCTACCAAGTTTGGTGGAACATCACTGTATGCTGTGAAGGTAATACTGGAAAAACATCTTTTCACTTAAATGAATATATGAATACACATTCCAGTGAGTTTCTATTTCTGAGTTTACTAACAAAATTTTACTAACAAAACAGTTGGCAAAACTGTCATTTTCAGCCAAAAAAGTGTTTGCTTCCTTCCACCCCTTACGCTGTAGTAAATACCCAGCTGGAAGCAACCCCAAACCTCATCCAGTCCAGTACAGCATTTCATACCCTTCTTCCCTGCAGCTGAAGTTTGTTGGCCAGACTGAACTTTCCTTTTGGCTCAGAAAAAGGCACCCTGCAATGGTTGCCCACACCTCCCATAGGCTACTTTAATGGGAAGGAGATGTGGTTCTGGGAAAGAACAAGGCACAAAATCCCACCGGTGGTACCACCAGAGGAAGATGCATCTTAATCCTCCCCAGAACTGCAGATCAATTCTAACAGCCACTATTTTATACCTTTTTTCCTTGTTTTGAGGCTCTTAAAGCCTATCTTTGGTACCTTGACTTGACAGCAGCGGCCTGGAAAAGCTGTGTCAGAATCCAATCAGCCCTTGCACCAGAGATGCTGAGATCCAGCCTCAGCTGTCCTTAACATTCCTAATTAAAGAAATTACTTATTCTTGGAAGATTGACATAACCTCCCCATCACCAAGAAATAAGCAAGATTATGGGTTGACTGTTAAAACTTTTTTTTTTCCCTTTGTCTCTAAAACGAAAAAGTAATTTTCCATACTTTGCCTGGAAGTTCTGGCCAGAAGTTCAGCTCACAGAAGCTAACATAACTTTTCAATATTCATTGTAGGTGGGACATCCCACCAACTGTTAAATGAATTGCTATAAACGAGTGATAAAGATAACACTTATTTTCATTAATGTGGGATTACAAATGAGGAATCTATACTTGTATTTTTTCCTTTTCATTTCAGCCATCTAAGTGCAGGGAGATTTATCAGAGATCACTGAGCTTTTGCAACAGTTCCTCTCCTCCCCCCAACCCTCACCCTATATAAGCCTGTGTTCAAGCCCATCCACAGATGATGGGCTCTAAAATCTCCCCGGCTCACCCTAAGAAATAATAAATTCAGTTTTCAAACTTATCTGAGCAGTAGGTGGCAGTGCTAGGACTGAAACCTGAAAGGCAGAAGCTAGATGTAAATTTCATTCTCAGAAAGGACTGTTGGGATTATAATTGCTATAAGATAACCCATACATGTAGTTTGCCCTAATAACCACGTATTGATTATAAATTGTTTCCATAATTGCATTTTTAATGCATGGAGCTTCTAAAAGGGATGTTGCGTGGCCGCAAACAAACAGGCAGGCTGGTAGCAATTACATTTTGATTTGTGTATCACAACATACACCTTACAGTTCAGTTTTTTTTTGGAGTGTGGCTGATTGTTTACCAGGTTACAGGATAATGAAGAAGTTTCCTATTGTGGGAAGCATTTGATATATAGCCTGAAAGATATCCTTGCTGTTATTTAACAGGATTATGCAGAGTTCTTTTCTAGGTCTAATGTCTATTAGATATTGTTATAAAATGTGGTCACACATCATTTGGGTCATGAACATGCATACTACTCAGATGGACTGAAGTTGTTAAGTGAATGTACTTCATTTCTTAGAGAAAATCTGTGGGAATGTACAAGTCCCACAGTCATAGCCAGCAGAAAATGAGATGTCCAACTGGACTCCTTCCCAATTCTATCTTTCATTCCAGTGAAACATCATCCCTCATGACTTAGATCTAGAATCATAGAATCATTAAGGCAGGAAAAGATAACCAAGATCACCAAGTCCAACCACCAGCTTACCCCCACCATGCCCCCTGACCATGCCCTTCAGTGCTACAACTCCATGCTTCCTGAACACCTGCAGGGATGGTGACTCCACTGCCTCCCTGGGTAGCCTGTGTCACTGCATCACCACTCTTTCTCAAGAAATTCTTCTTAATACCCAACCTGACCCTCCCCAGTGCAGCTTAAGGCTGTTACCTCTCGTTAGTAACTCAGCTCTAAGCCTACAGGGAGGCATTTTCATCAATACAGGCAATTTTGGGGCAATCCCATCCATATCCATGTCCTTACTGATAGGCTCTATATCCAACAAGAACACCTCCTGCCTCAGTACAGCCTGAAGCAGAGAGCAAGGAGCTGGATTCAGAGATTTCACACCACAAATGCCCAGACCTGAGGACCCCAAGGGTAAATTTCTACACTCTTATGGCTGAGGAAGTTTGGAAACCACAGCTGTTGTTAAGGAAATCACTCTGGCATGTCTCACTTTAAGGATGCTCTTCCATTCATTTGATTTCTGTGGGATTTGGGGCTGTGGGTCAGTCAACCAAGACCTCTGTTTGCACATAAAAACCTCAAGCCCACATAGGAACATGCATCTGCTTTGACAAAACCTGTGTCAAAGGAGGAGACAGTACAACTGGCTTTTCCTGTGACAGCTTTCTATATGAATATCAGTTTGTGCAAGTTCTTGGTAAACAACCATTTACTTGAAAGGATGGTTGAAATAAAAAAATTGAAAAAGCTGAGAGAGTATTTCCTTAGATTAAAAAAAAAAAATGCAGAAACATCTCTTCTCCAGCACAGTTCTGCCTGCATTCACAGCTGCAATTGACACGTGAAAGCAAGTAGTACAATTTAGGGCAAGCATTTCCAAAATAAGATATGCTCTTATAAATCTCATAAATTTTACACTGAACAAAAGGAATTAAAAGCAGTGCACTCACAGAAGCAGCGCATTCCAGCAGTTCTTCAGATGCTGCTTGCAGAGATCACTGGACAAGAAACCAAGAAGTGCTGTGACAGGGATTCATCCTGAGTGGATCAAGGTTTTAGATGGATATCCTATACTCACATCTTCACTGCAAGTACAGCTCTAAGTTTTGGGGCTGCAGGTCTCATACGCGCACCAATATTGTGACACAACTTCTGCTGCTCAAGGAAGCTAGGCATCCAAAACATACTTTATTTTTCCAGTCCGTGACCTTCGGAATTAGAAAATAGGCTTTTTTGTTGTTGTTGTTCCCAGACCTGCTCAGAATAATAATTCTGCAGATACCATTCTAAGTACCTGCTTCTGTTGCCATGCCAGTGCGTTATTAAAAATACCCACAGAAATGACTTTTGAAAGTAACTTACCATTTCCCCCTTTTTTTCCTTCAGTCTCTTTTCACTTTGTTTTGGTTGAAAAGCAACAGTAGGAAGCCAGAGGTGGGAGGAAAGACATTTTTGTGACAAGACTGCAGAATATGCAGTAGCTCAGAGAAAAAACACTTCTTGCCACTTGTTTCTATTCAATATATATATATTTTAAAATGCTTTAAAGATAAACAAACATATAGACACTGCCAGAATAATTCACCTTTGTTGTCACTGTTGTTTTTAAGTAATAAAAATTGTCCCAGAATTTCATTTGAGAATCAGTTTGTGCTCTGACAGTACCTCATTTCCTGTGATCTTAAAAACCAAGATCTAAGTGCTCTGCTCTCCAATGGTATTTTTTTGGGCTCTGAATTCCTCCTGCTTAAAGTAATAAGGAAACCAACACATTAAAGGGGCTGAGTATCACAGAAGGTGCACATGTTGTTGTTTGTAAATAACAAAGCCTTACTTAAGGAAGACTTCAATGAAGACTAATCACTTCATTCAGCCTTTCTCTCTCCTACTCCTCTGGCAGTCCCAACATTTCCATGGTATTTTAGGCAGAAAGTTTCCCTAAATGGTGCTTACTTAGTTCAGAGGGGATAAAACTACTTCTGGATCAACATTTGGGGTTGTTACGTGTGGAAATTGAACTGCATCTTCTGTGGCCATTTATCAGACTAAAAGTCAAACTCAGGACCAGCTTAGTTCAAGCTGAGATTATCTCAACAAAAGACTCCAGGTCCCTCTCCATGCTTCAGAAGGCCATTTGAAACGTAACACTACCCTAATGCCTGGGTCCAGAGCCCCCAGGCACAAAAGGGTCCACTTTCACCAATTTCAGTGGGGTTCAGATTAGCAGTCTGAAGAAAGTTGAATTTTTTAAACAAGATTTCCAACACTTGGTAGCTCCTACTGCAACTTAATAGAGGCCTCTGGAGACCCCAGCTGGCTCAGTCACTTATAAGTCATGACACTGAACTTGCTTCTAAAACATGAATTTGGGAGTCTGTGTGTGTATGTATATCTCTGTGTGAACATACACTAAATACTAGACGCAGCTTTAAGGTTAGCAGTGTTTTAAATTCAAGGTGTCCATTTCATGGTGCTTCAGACACAAGAGAATGAGACTTGGCCGCTTTCCACTCAGTGTTTTACACTGTTGTGCCTCTCTTAGTTATAGCAGAGCAATTTCTGGTTTATGGGAGGGAAGCAAAATGCTGGTTTGTCACCTCAGCTGGTATTTTCCTTACTACCCCTAACATGATCTTGCAGAGCAATGAGAAGAAGAGAGTGAACTGCTGAACATTTGGGGAAACAAATACAGCTATGGACTTGCAGTGATGGTACGCATTGGGATCTCATCTCTAGTTCTGATGAGCCCCTCAGGCACCCCCCTTCTCACCAGTCATTGTGACGCAGTGACTTCAACACACCTGCAGCATGGCTGGGGAAGCCCAGCAATGAGGAACCAGATGTTTCTGTATGTATGAGACTGATGGCTGTGAAATCTCTCAGTCTACCTGTCTAATCGCACAGGAACAACAGGAAAGCTTACATATTGCACTCTTGGCATGAGCACTAGGAAACTCAGACCAAAAGAGACATTATTCAACATCGCTCTGTCCCTAAGGCTCATCTTTTACCCCCTCCACCCTCCCAGTGTTAACTATTCAAAAGGAGCCAAGACACATGAACAGGATCTAACTCTTCAAAACAGATGTGCAAACACTCACTAGCAGTGCTAAGTACTTCTCTGAGAGGCTCTTTTAGGTCCTACTTGAACAGTTACAACAGTGGAGGGAGGCAAGGTTAAGGACCAGCAGAGAGCAGCCAGGCCACAACCTGCTACTGGAAAATCAAGTTTTGAGACTGGAACACTCAAAGGTAAAAAACCTCACTCACACTGATCTTGGACACAAACCCTTTCTGCTTTACTTATACAAGCACTGAGAAGTGCTCATTTGAGCACTTTCCCCCCCCCCCCCCCCCCGACATAACAGCAATTTAAGAGCCTCACCACCACATTCGTGTAAGAGTGAAGATGCAGTTTGGTAGAAGATGAATAAGAAAACATGGAGCCCTTGGCTTATCAGTCTGCGTTGTTTCCTCCAATCCCTTCATCCATAATCCATAAGGCAACAATGCACCTCCCTGCATCCATCACCTGCCAGCTCTCACAGCTCCTGCCCAGCCCACCTCATGATCCTGGCACCAGCCTCCCCTTCACAACAGTGGTCTCTTTTGTCACTTGTCAACTAATTAGGCCTTGCAGGCACATTACCAGCACGTACAGGCTGAAAACAATTATAGTTTTAAAACAAAAGAGGTACCAGATGTTGACTGCATCTTATCCAAAGGAATTTTATGGCAGCTTCAGCACAATCCCAACAGAAGAGCATCTGTGAGTCTCCAAACTGAGAGATTTCATTAACTCCTCAGTAATCTTACATTTCCACTGAGGGCTGGATTTTTCTCATTTTCCCCCTAAGTGTGCAGCAGATCTCAGCTGAGCAGAATCACCGCCTGTGCCACATAGCAGCATCTCCTGGCAAACAGGACAATATGAAAAGTGGTGGTGTGTCCCTAGTCCTCAGTACCAGCACATAAGCAAAGGACACTAATGAATTTTAGGTCTGGCAAAGCACTGCATTTCTATGAATTGCACCTACATGCCCCAATTTCTCTTGGATCTTACCTATGCAGTTTCCATTATTTCATAGGCCACAGGAGACCACAAATATTATTTTTTTCAACATTATTGTAGACACAGTCTTTGCTAGTAAAGGAAAGACAACATAGCTGCTGGGATTTGGCATGGTGCTGCTATGCATGCTGTGCTCTATTTCCAAAGAGGAAAAAAAAAAAAAAACAGATGATCTTATGGAGGTGAGTTCCTGGAATGCACTGTACTATCCACTTATGTTGGGATCTACACTGTGAAAAAACCTGGGCTGTGCCCACCCCTTGCCAGGGCCACACCACAGGTGGAGAACAACTGGCACCAAAGGCAATTTTTTTCTCAGCAAATGGCACTGTGGCAGATTCAGGCAGTACCCAGCTGTCTCCTGGAAAAGCTTAGGTATGGTTTGGGGGCTGGCTTTCAGCACCTCATTTCACTTAAAAGATTCTTAAATGCTGCAGGCTCGCCTCCTTTCCTTCTGAAGAGGGGGACAGCAGGGGAGCATCTTGCAGAACCCAAATTGCCTAGCAAAGGAAACACAAAGCAATACTTCCTTTCTTGGTTCCTGGCTCTATACATTCTCTTCTCATTTCTTTTTTTCCTTTAAGTGACCTAGCACTGGACACATTTGCTACATCTTAAAAGATCACAGTTCTTACAACCATTTCTCTTCAGCTCTCAACACGATCTCTCCAGCTGGTAGAATCAGGGTGAGAAGAATTTGAGTTGCTGGTAAATGCACACCTGCTCCCTTGGAGACACTGAGATGTTTAAGGAGCCCTCATACGTATCTTCTTTTACTGACAGTAGAGAATTGAACTTGTGGGACAGGAGAGCAGTGGGCAGAGGTCCAGTAGATTAGCTCCAGTAGCTACTGCTCATCAGGTGAGCCTCTCTATGATAAGTTAATGGAGAGAAAGCAAAGAACTGAAAACTGAGAGCTAAATCCCACTCTCAGCTCAACCCTCCAGATGCTAGTTTTCCTGCTCTTCTCTCAAGTCTACGTGGGAGGTTATCCGATGTCCTCAGCTGAACTCAGGTCCCACTGCATGGACTCCAGCATGGAAGGCCACCATGCTGCAATCCCACTCACACTGTCAGATATATTTTTTGAAGTCCATAAAAAGCCTAAGGACCATCCATTCCCCTCACACCACAGTCTCTGAGGTGGCACGTGGGCTAATGGGGTTTAGCTGTTTAAGAGGACAGGGATGGGCAGTCAGTGCTTCTGTCAGAGGCATTTTAAAAGACACTTGAGTGGTGACAAGTAGCTCACAGTTGTGATACGGTGTGGGGTGCTGCTAGATCTTACACCTCACTCACCTGCAGAAGCAGGCAAGCTGAAAGCTTCACTCTTCAGGGTAAAGCAAGAAAACGCACAGTAAAATTGACAGCAATAGTAATTTTAGTGGAATTGTGCATTACCAGCAGTGTTATTGCATCCACCGCCTTTATTAGGGTGTGTGCACAGTATGCAATAATGTAATTAGATTTCACAATGTGTAATAATTACTTTCATGCAACACAACAACTGCACATTAGGGAAGGAAATTGGTTCCCGTTATGGAGCCAGAACAAACCTTGTGCTATCAGGTGTGTAGTATCAGCCCATCTGTCAGCTGCAGGCCCAGGCTGCGATGAGGATAGCCTGAAGGAAGGATTTCACCCTCTGCAGCTCCAGTGGTGCCTGACCACCTCCTGCCCCACAGCACTGCCACAGCCCTCACCAGACCACAAGGAATGATGGTGCACAGCACCAACAGAGAGCAAATGGTGACTACAAACATATCATGATGCCAGGATAAATCATTTCAGTGCCTCTCCAACAGGGCTCCTTTCAAAGGACACTTGCCCTGCCACCATTGCTAATGAGCACAAGCTGGCCCATTTATTTGCTACTGCACTTTCTGCAGCAAATCACAGCCTTGCTGCAAAGGTACAGAATATGAGAACCACAATTTTATCAGCAAGATTTTTGCTTGCAAACCCATTAATATCTTCACTGAACAGCTTCTTCCCCCACACCTCATCCCTCAACCTTGCTAGGCCAGAGAATTGCTCTTTCACAGGTCTGCTCTTGTTGTTATTCCCTTAGCTTCAGTGAAATATATATGAGATGACTCAGAGTTTGAACTCCCGCTCCATGTTCCTAACACAAAGCTTCCATGTGTCTGGGGACCTCAGACAAGTATTTAATTTTAGATGAGATGTACCAGTGACATCACGCTTTTGATTCCTGTGCTGGGTGCATGCAGCAAGCACATGGAGCAGTGGCTTGGCCTCACCTCATTGAAAAAGCCACCTGGTATTCAGCGTAGGCAGAGCCATAGGCAACACTGGTGCAGATCAACAGGAGCACAGCACAGCACTTAACCCCATGCAGCCACAGTGACATGCTCTGGAGGATAAAAGAGCTCAGAAGGAGGAGGAGTTTTTCCAGGGCCATTTGACACAGCTGCTGCAGCCCCTGGACACAAAGCTCTAATCAGAGCACATCAGCAGGTAGTTCACCTACCCCTACCCCACACTTCACAATGCAAGTAAGGATTTATACCTCTCACACATTGAGGATGTTGCATTGAGCCTCATTACTGGTGACTCTAGAACTCCATAGCAGCAGACATCAGCAAGCATGTCCAGTCTGAAGAGAACACACCACAACTTCATTTTTAGCTTTTCAGCTAAAGAAAGAGATATGCCTTCTTCTGATTTTGAAACATGACTAACTAAAAGCTCAGATGCATGGAGAGAAGCTTGCAAAAAAAATACAGGCTCCTGCAGCACCACTTTTTAGATAAGACCATTTTAGGAACATTACACTGACAAATTTGCAGCCTTTCCTACAATTATATATCTCTCTGCACAGCAGGCATTATCCAGAAAGAACTGGAAGATGTATTAGCATAGATAAACAGAGCACAGGGCAAAAAGTAAAACTGAGTTGCTCAAACAAGAGGCAAACTGCAGAACTTGCACATCAGCAGAGGGGTAACTTACCGAGGGATCCAGCAGATTTCCTTCTTCCTTAAAAGCTGCAGTCACCTGAAGCATCATCCTACAGGATAGTCTGTAGCTCAGCTAAGGGTGGCACATGGTGCCAGCACCATCAGCTTAATTCCTTGGATCTGCACAGAGCATCAATACACCCTGGGCTTGTCCCCAACCTGCTGCTGCTACAAGGTAAGGACAGAGCTACCAACAAGAAAGACACAGAGCTGATGAAAACAGCCTTCAGCAAATACTTCTACCAGGTGGCAAAAGTCATCTTTATACAGAAGAATCCTAGGGCATGCTGGGATTTTTTTTTTTCCTTTTTTTTTTTTTTTTTTTTTTTTTTTTAAAGCCACTGCCAGCTGCATCTCCTAATTGCCTTCAATTGATGACTAACAAACCAGCTGCAAAGCCTTTCACAGCTGCAGTGCTATTGGTACGTTCCACAGCCCCAGGAACAAATCAGGCCCCGTACAAATGAAGATACCAGTGGGTTTCATATTCATTCTAAAGCATAGAAGTCACAAAATCAGTTAATTTCTCACTCCTAATGTTAAAAGGCCAAGAGCTGCCTTCCATACAAACAACTCATGAAGTAACCCTAATGTTTCAGTTTGTACTGATGGATTTTGATCAGTTTTGCATCACTCATGCTTACAGGTTGTCCAAGAATAGCAGTTAAAAACTTAGTTTTATGCTCCCAAAAGTTGTCCACTAGTCCTTGGTGAAATGAGTTTCCTGGAGTTCCTGCTGTGTTTGCCCATTGCTGTATTTTCCAGGCACTTAGAGCCCCTCTGGTTTGCAGACTGCAGAAATGGGGAGGCACAGGGGTCCCATCATTACGGGAGTATAAACTGTGCTGTTTATGGGCAGCATCTGCCGAGTTGAATGCTGCCAAATAAAATGTATTGAAGCTCCTTGTCCATCACCTTTCTGGTATAATAGGTTAGGGAGTCCATGGGCCAACATGTGCTGGGTAATGAAGCAGTGCCTTTAAATACACCTGAGCCTCCCTCTCTTCATTTCTGCATATTGCCACCTGCTGCATTACCCGAAATTAATTGGGTTACTCAGTTCTGGAATTAGGGTCTTCTCACAGAAGAAGTGTGCAGTGAATGCCTCATGCCCTAAGGGCAGCCAAACTGGCAGTGGGGCACCACAGCAATCATAGAATCACGAAGGTTGGAAAAGACCATCAAGACCATCCAGTCCAACTCCACCATGCCTGCTGACCACATCCCTCAGTGCCCATCTCCACGGTTCTTGAACACCTCCAGGGAGGGTGACTGCACCACCTCCCTGGGAAGTCTGTGCCAGTGCCTTATTGCTTTGAGAATTTCTTCCTAATATCCAACCTAAATCTCCTCCGGCACAACTTAAGGCCATTCCTTCTTGTCCTATCAATGTCTCTAAACTGTGGTGCATGATGATGACTTAGGCACACTGCCACTCAGATCTCCTGTACGAGGGTCAAATGGGTTTTATGCAAAGTACTGCAGTTGCTAATTGCAATTACCAGAAAGCAAATACAAGAGAGCGTGTTGATTGCCGTTAAACAAAGGCACTTTGGAAATCTTGGATTTTCACTATAGATGGAAGTCTATAAATTTAAAAATAGACATCATGTTATCGTTTACAATTTCCATTTGCTAACAAATCCTGCTAAACAAAATCAGTGGCTAAGTAAACATTTATACATAAATAAAACAGTGAAGATCTCTTCAGTTACTGAGATGCTGCTGGCTCAGTCTCTTGAGAATAATACAGCAATGAATTCTGTTCTTGTAGTGCATGTCAATCCTACCTTGCCTCCAAGTCTTCGCCACTCATCCATGAACCCATCAACTCATTTTGGTCACAATGGCAATACAGACACATCACTAAAATAAGAGTTTGAAAGAGTTCCCAGGTTAACCCCCCTTGGTGCTCTCCATCCAACAGGAATGCAAAGCTGCAGCACAAGCAGCTTGGATGAGGCATTTTAATAGTAAACACAAGGGTAGCTGTAATGAGCTGGTGTAGATGGTAAAACCAGGTGCACTACTCATTTTAGACGGTACCCAATTCTTTTTCATAATGTACATTTTATTAATGCTCTCCGTGATATTTTTTCATACTGTGTCATCAACAGGAGTACAGTAATTACAATGTATTAAGATTCATTCCATGCCTGAGGAGTAAGGAAGTCCACTGACGTTATGCAAAGCAAGTGAAACGTAAATCACTGTTGACTTGGGGCTGGCTTGAACCAAATCTCTGCCTGGGGAGCAACATGACTTGGGGGTGCTAATGGGATGCACTGGCTTTGTCAATTAAATCTTGGATCCCTCCAGCTGTGGCTGGTTGCATTATCCCATGCCATGGTGGTTCATGTCTGCAGCTGCCAATCTGCATGCCATCAGGGTGGAGGGGCTGGATGGGATTTGTCATTTTTGTTAGAACTTGGGCTGGGCTCTGAGCTGTCACCATCAGTGACAAAGTATCAAAGTGCGCCCATTGGCACTGCTGGCTGTAGAATAACTCCTCTAGACATCACACTGGAAGCTTTGGGTGCAGGAGGACAAAGTTATCTGAGGAGAAAAACTCATAGGAAGGGCTGCAATGAGAAAAAAAGCAACCCAGCTGGTTTCTAGTGATCTGCTAGGAAAAAAAGAAAAAAAAAAACCAACAAAACCAAACGAATAAACAACAACAACAACAAAAAAAAAAACTGAAAAAAAACCCAGGGGATTTCTGCTTTCAATCACAGCCAGCTTTCATCCTATGCAGCACCCCATATTTCCCCAGGCCAGGATTCAACTCTAAACTTTCGGGCTGTAGAATGCATAGGGTCATCTTCTTGTGCTGAAATCTTTCATAGCTCTTGGGAGGTTTTTTTCTTTTCTTCTTAATTTACTGGCTAGTTCCCAGAACCTTTCTGGCACAAAGCAAGGGGTTGCTTTTCCTGATTTTCATAGAATCCTAGAATCATAGAATCATTAAGGTTGGAAAAGACCTCTAGGATCACCAAGTCCAACCACAAGTCCATTCCCATCATGCCCACTGACCACATCCCTCCGTGGTCATCTCCACATCTCCTGAACACCTCCAGGGATGGTGATTCCACCGCTACCCTGGGCAGCCTGTGCCAATATCTCATCACTCTTTCTGAGAAGAAATCTTTCCTATTTTTCTCTCTGGGGAAAAAAAAAAAAAGAAAAAAAAAAAAAAAGTGACAGCCTTTTATGGCTAGAGGAAGTTATTCCGGGTCATTTTTTCAGAAATGCTTTTTTTTTTTCTTTTTTTTTTTTCAGTCTGATAAGCATTTTCCATCTGCTGCATGAATCTCTGCAGTTGGACTCAAGAGTAAATGAGGAAGAAGAAGCCTTTGAGTCGTGCAGGGTGAAGTTGAAACCTCATGGCTCCTCCACTTTTGTCACACTCTTCAAAACCCTGTGCTGAAGCACAGCCCTGCTTGCTGACTGGCACTGCAGGACTGAGCTGAAGAACTGGCCCAATGCCATTCACGATCTGGTGTATTTTTTTCTTTCTTTTTTTTTTTTTTTTTTTTTTTTTCCTCCTTAATTAACGTTAAAAGACTCATGGGAACCACACCAACACAGCTTGTATCCCTCATGATGATGTTGCCCATCCCACCCACACCTGCACCAAGGTACCCAAGCCCTCAGTGGGTATAGCTCCATGGGGAGAACAAAGGCCAGAAAGTCCTCCCTGTTGGTAGGAGCGAAGGAGAAACTCCTACTGAGTCCTCTGCCCTCATCCTCTGGCTGCTTCCCATGCTGCCACAGTATGGCTGGGCTGCAGGACTCTTGCCAGGCTCTCCAGTCCATCTATCCCCAGCTGAGCTGAGGGAGAATCATGATCCGCGAGAAACTAAGGCTTATTTTTACAAAAAATATCTCTATTTACACATGACAATAAAATCCAAGCGACATTCCCCAGAAGCCTTTGCTAGGTACGTGTGCTGGTCGATCCCTATTTACAAGTGATGGCAATTCACCTTCTTCTGGCACCAAGGTCATTTCTTTGTATATTTTTTCCTTCCCTCTTTGACTCCCTGTATTTACAGCAGGGATCTGGTTGCAGTGGAGTGGGGTCCAGGAATTGAGGCAAGCACGCTCATGTCTGTGTTTTCCAGTCAAGAAGCCAACATTAGGAGCAGACAGAATTGCAAAATATTTTTTTTTTTTTGCCAGTTCTGCTCATCTTAAAAAAAGCAACAAACCAGCCAAGCAAGAAGGTATGGTCCTCAGTGCAGCAGAAAGCCTAGCCAGGCTGGTTTCTCCGTGAGGATGAGAGGGTTTGCTGAGGATTCTCTCGAGGCTGGTGGCTGGGCCTCTCCTGTTGGGCCCTCCCGTGGCAGGATGGGCAAATCGAGGCAGTGAGGAGCCAGGGTGGTGTGGTACAGATGCTAGATGACGCTGTCTTCCATGGTGACCCTCCTGAAGACTGGCTCCTGCTTGGGCATCCGGCCACTCTCTGTGGAGAACAAGGGGAGAGAGGTAAAGCCCAGAGCAAAGCCTCACAGCCAGCCAGGGTGCAAGCCAGGTGGTAACCTCTGTGGTCACAGAATCATAGAATAGTTTGGGTTGGAAGGGACCACAAAGATCACCTGGTTCCAGGCTCCGTGCCGTGGGCTGGTTGCATCACCACCAGATCAGGCTGCCCAAGCCCCATCCAAAGTGGCCTTGAGCGCCTCCAAGGATAGGGCATCCACAGCCTGTCTGGGCAGCTGTGCCAATGCCTCACTGCCCTCTCAGTGAAAAATGCATGCTGCTTTTAGGAGCATCTGAAACCAACCAAAGGGTCTGGAGGATCAGCTGTGCCCAGGTGCAAGTTGCTCCCATGGTGAGCACAGCTCCAGAGCCACAGCTCTGAACTTGTACAAAGCTATGGGGCTTGCTGGACCAAATGGCAATTTTAAGGGTTCCCCACTTTTCAATCAATAGGAATCACTGCAGAGTAAACAGATTTGTTTTGATATCAGACATTATCTGAAGGGCACTTCACAGGCTGTCTCTGAGAGCTCTACCGTACAGCTGTCTCTGCAATAATTGCAGCTCCAGGAGGAAAATGCCTGCTTGCAGGGGCACGGGTCAGGAAGGCAGCCACATGCTGCTTGAGGTGAAGCGGACACGTGCAAGAACACTTGGAATGATTCAGGTAACAGACTCCCTTAATGCCCAGGGAGAGTCTAAGGTAGGCCAGACATACTCTGGAAGAGAATTACAGCCTATTTTTTAGGATAAATCACTCCATATCCTGTCCATCCAACGGCCAGCAAATCCCTGCTGCAGCAAAACTCATACAGAAAGTGCTACCAGGAAAGTGCCGGGGGTAGAAACAGAAACTATTCACTATTCACTATCCCTCAGCTTGTCTATTTTTGCTGCTCCTTGAAAAGGACAAAATTTCTTCCTTTCCTTGTAGCTCATCACTTTGTTCCAGGCAGTGGGTTGCACTTTCTCCTTTCATTTCTACGTTGCTTTGTATCATAAACAGCTAAAAATGCTTGGGTGTATACTGTACTCTGGGGGAAAGAATCCAAAATCCCACCTATTGGATATGAAGCACTCTTTAACACCATACTATCCTTTCACCTGCATGTATGAATGACAGCAATCAGGAATCTGCCAAAATGGAGGCTGTGGGAAGGCAGAGCCCAGGTGCGTGCAGGACTGGGAAGGCACAGCATCAATGTACTACATCATTTATCTATCATGGAGAGCCTTGCTAACAGGACTGCCAAGCTTGAAAAACATACAGCCCTTCCTTTCCAGACAGAAAACTAGAGGGAAAGCTCCTTTTAACCTCCATAAACTTGGCCCAGCTAATGAAGTTGTTGACCCTTCATCCCCCAAAACCCATTTATTAGTGGAGGTTAACAGAGACTCGTGTCTGCTGAAAGGCAAAGCCTTTGCTGCGACTAGGGCACAAAGCCTCTAAAGCACAGGCTTTTTGCATTGAGCTTTCCTGCCATAGGGACCTAAATTCTGCACGAGATGCCTTGGGGGGAGGTGGGACAAGACAGTATGAAAACAGCTTTATTATAACCATAATGTACCCATGGAGCATCAAGCTGCTGGAAATAACCTTTCTGAACTCGTAACAGTACATACACTTGGCTGCAAGCAGCAATGGAAGATACTGGGTTATCTGTATGTGTTCAGAGCAACGCAGCACTGCTTTTCTGCACCAGAACTCTATGTTTAATGTGCTGTCCTGCCAGCGTGAGTGAGCTATGCACGGCATCGAGGGAAGCCATAAATATTCAATGCTTTAAGACCAAAAAGAAAGAAAAAAGTAAAAGACAGCTGTAGGCTCTCACTATATTCATTCTTGTCACCAGGACGCAACAATTTGATCATTAAACAAAAGTGGATGCTTCTTCTCTTTGGGCATAAGATTACTTTTATGGGACAAGGGATTCAGGCCTCATCCATAAAGTGGCCATGCACACCAGCTGGGAGGCCATGCAGCTCTGCTCCTGCATTTCAGCTGTTGCTTTGGGTTTAAGCAGCACTGTCAAAAAGCAAGCGTTTGCTTCCAGCACATAATAACTGCTCTGGGTTTACCAATATATATATATTTTATTATCGAGGTTTTAGTTTGGGTTTTTACATGTGTACAGAGTATTTAAGGAGTAGAAACATAAGAAAAAAAGTGAGGGAGGGGGGGAAATCAAAAAGACAGCAAATAGTTAGGAAGCTGAGTTGTTTTGTTGGCATTGTGCTGGAGGAGACTATCACCATCTGGAGTACCAAATACAACAAACAGTAACCACCTGTTAAGAGCTATTCTGGTGTAGAAGGGGAAGATTTCCAAGTTCTGGCTATGCTGAATAGTCTCAGTATTTCAGCGTTAATCAGACCATCTCCCCTGAACTGGGAAAACATGCTACCAGCTGTATGACCCCACACATCCCCAAGACATGCTGACCCACTGAGTGCTCATACAGCCCTGGCTCAACGCCCAGCAGCAAAAACTGACTGCAAAAACGCCATCCTGGGCCCACAGCCCCACTTGCTTTTGCTTTTATCCCAGTGAGCTCAGGATGCTCACTGACAATGTGGCTGCTGCCTTCTCTGGGAGCATTAATCACTGATTTTATCTGTTTCCAGCTTTGTGCTGCAGGATGTTCTCAGCTCTGTTACCAGAGAACCTGTGCCGACACGATGCTTAGAGAATGTTCATGAGCTCAGACTATTTAAACCCTAAAATATTCATTGAACAAAATTTGCATAGAGTCTAGCTGAATGCTAGCAGGTAGCTAAAAATAAAGATCTTTTCAAACAGAGGGAGAAAATCAGAGTGAGACAGATGACCAAGACACTGCGCTTAGGCTCTCCTGAGACAGCTTTTAATAAGACGAGCTATGCTTTCATTCCTGTTGTGCAGGCCAGTCTGCAGGGTATTATATTCTTTATGAACTGTCAAGATCAAGAGTGTGTGAGGGCAACAGGGACACGGGCAGGGACACAAGGACCATCATCACTCAGATTTCAGGGAATTAAATGCAATCACTACGAGGAAAAGAGTAGCACCATAGTAAGCAATATGTGGTATTTACGAAGCTGTAATGAACATCCTAAACTTCTAGCCTACATAGTCTTGTAGTCTTTCTTGTCATGTCTTGTCTCTCTTTCAGAAGCTTTGGGGAGATCTTTACAGTCTCATGCAGCTTCTCCCTTATGGCTTTTGCAGAAAATGAGCAGTACTGTCCTTCGGAGCCTAAGTGTCCTTAAGCAGTAGGAAACTTAGTGGTAGCCCAGCAAACTGGTGCATCATCCAGTAGCTATGGGCAATCTGGCATCTGATATGAGATTACACGAAGAAAGCAACCTTGCTTATGTGCAGGTTAGAAGGAGCATGGGAAAAAGAGATTTGCTACTTGCAAAATGTCCCAGGATGACGGGACATGGCATGCAATGCTCAGTCTTGTACTTCTCTGTTCCCCCTTCCAACATGCAAGCAACACTTTTAGAAGAAAGGATGACTCAAGCTATGCACTGTCATTGCAAATTCTCACTCCATACTTGCCCAGCAACCAACATGTCCTTAAAGTAGTCCCATGTTTCCAACAGGGAAGGTCTGTAAATAAGATCAATTGTTCTGCAGGACCAAGCATTGCTTTTTTCCTCTACTCTGTTTTCCATGGAAAGTTGGATGCTTACTGCAGTCAAATGATGAAGCTTTAATATTCTATCTCTAAAGATATATATTTTTTTCTTCTCCCTTTCTTTCTTTTAACAAATCTCTAAAAAAAAAGATCCCTCTGATACAGGGCTGTTTATCCACTTCAAACAAAGTTGTGTGCCCCAATCATAGGTATGGATTTAATACCATAATTGTTACTGCCTCTTCATCAAGCCATCATTTGTACCACACGCTATTCTCTTGCATCCCCCTGCCTTTGCTCAGCATTAAGAAATGCCTCAGTGGTTCTGCAGTTCTACCTCCCACTCCGACAGCATTTTAGGCTTCAAGGGCTTTAGCTGAGTTTCACGTGCTGCAATCTGCACAAAAGACACCGCTGTGTTGTCAGTCACATAACACATCTACTGAGTTATTTATCAACAAGCAGAAATCCTCACCATGCCAATAATCAACTATCTGATATGATAAACTGTTTCAAAGACGATAAAATGAAAAAAATTACCTCCATCTTGCTCCCTCCTTCCCCAAACCAAATGATAGTCTTAAAACATATTTAGCTTGATGTAATTAATGATATCTATTTCCCCTCTGTTTTGTGATTCAGCTGTTTCCAAATCTGTAAGAAGCACCAACAGTGAACCCTGTGGTGCCAGCTCAGTCTGGGGACGGAAATAATCAGCTTGAAAATAAACAGTGTTTTTTTGCAATCAAAGTGCTAATAGACATGGTAACTGGAGGACAGTAGCTCTTGCGAGAAGGGATGGAGAAGGGGGAAAAAGCCTGTTTCTTGCTGAATCAGAAATACGTGGGAAGGGGCCAGGTGAGAATGGCCATTTAGATTGAAGAAAGCCAAAGATATTTAGTATCATACAGTCATCTCATACCAAATCCACTACTGGTTTGTTCTTGCAGTTTCAGGCACACTGCACTGATCACCTGCCTCCCATTTTATCATAGCAATACTGGCTAGAGTGGATCTCACCCTTTGCAGGAGTTTAATCCCACCAAATCCTTGGAAAATCACTTTTTGGAGACTAATATGGTAGAAGAGCTTTAACTTTCTCCAAAACAGAGATACTTCAAGGCCTCACAGTCTCAATTGGACTGTGGCAAAAATTGGTTTGGTGATGGGATCTGAACAGTTGCGTGCATGAATCTACCACTTGCCTCCCAGCTCAGTCCCTGCTGGCACAGAAAATAAAACCACACAAGGAGGCAGCGAGTTAGAAGCCAGTGGGGCAGCACTATCAAGAGCAAGGGCACAGCTGGTGGCTGTTTGGCTGTAATTCCCAAACTCCTGGTGGGAAAGGCCAAAATCTAGACCTGGCAGGAGGCACAGCCTGGTCAGAAATGAGATTTCCTTCCCAAGGCATTTTGGCCTGAGCTGTTGGCTGCAGCAACACCTGCACTGAACTGTTGGCTCAGGACAGCCATTGCAGAGACTCAGTTGCTCTGGAGGGACCTGAAGAGGGGCTGGGCCGCTGGGAAGTACAGTGGGGTTTCTAGCACAGTGTTGCCTGGGCTGGCAATTGAGCTTTTGGCAAAGGAGAGCTCTGCATACACCTGGAGCAAGAAAATAAAAAGACAGCAAACAACAACTGAGGCCTAATGGGAACTTGTTTTACTCTTTGACATGCTACCAGTGGTATTTATCTCAGAAGAATCAAACTTAAAAAATAAAAAATAATTAAAAAATCATTACAATGATTAAAAAGACACACGAAATACTATGCTCAAATCATCTGCATGTCATTGTCTGGTTTATACAGTAGGCACAAAGCAGACCTAGGATAACCTGCAAGAAACGTGGGCCAGCTTTGTTCTCAGCCAGATACAAGTGCTGCTAGCCTGATACTTCTACTTAGCTGTAGCTGGGTAATGTTTGTGCTTAAATTGCTCAGCCAGGCCTCCTCTCTTTGGCATTGCTCACCCATGCCCTAAAGGAGTTGGAAACTCATACTGAAGACAGAAATGGAGAAAGGAACAATAGAGAAGAGCGATTAATTGTACAGTACATACATACAGTGTCTTCTAAATTGTGATCAGTTGTTTATTGGTTGGCAAACAAGCTTCACTTTTACAACAAATATTAGTAATGAGGTCATTCAACTGCTGAGACCATACAAAATGATCATAAATTAAAAATAAAAATAAAAATAAAAGAAAAAAGAAAAAAAGAAGAAATTATACTCCGTGCTGCTAATTTACTTCTGGAAAGCCTATGTTACTTGAAATCATGTCAAATAAATAAATTTCCTGTTAAGCAAAAGAATGAACAGAAGACTTTTTTTTTTTTTCTTTAAAAATCACTGCAAAAGTACTTTTTAGATCACTACGCATCAATCAAATTTCTTCTTAACCACTGCATTACAAGTGCCTAAACGGGGACCGGACGGGGCCGTGAAGGCCCTTAGCTCCTATGGGGAAATCACCGTCTCATGCAGAAGCCCCACTACGACTACAAAAACCTCTTGGCTTCTAGATGCGAACCTACGGCCTGGGTGAGGGGCTGCTTGCCAAAGATGCTTCACAGGATTCTTGTTACGATTGGTTGTGCACTGTAAACATAAAGTTTGCCCTGCTCTATTCTGCAAAAAGTCTGCCGGCCATATGGCGGCTTGAGAAAGATACACGATGAGGAAAGAAAAGACTCTCTTGGTTGGAAAGAAACTGCCATCGCGTTTCTAAAAATGGTCCTTAGAAAGTGGTGTTTGTTTTTCTGCCCAGTGAGACTTTTTACCAGGATGGGAGGGATGGAGGGGAGAGGCAAAAGGAAAGAAAAGAAAAACAGGAGTTATGAAAAACCTTGCTCCTACTGGTAGACAAACTTACAAGACCAGCACAACAGAAAAAGTTCTTATTTTTTTTCCACTACATTAACAGGGACGCAAGTTCTGGAGGAACAGAAAGCAGACTATATGTGCAATGCTAGTATCTGTACATTACATAGAAATTGTTTGATTCTCTTTTTCTGCCATTAGTTTTGATCGTCAGTTAATACAGCAAAACATAAAATATGCCTTTAGCATATAATTCTAGGATTCCCTTCCGTATCATTAATTTTTGTTTCGGTTGCTCCCACAGCGAAGGGCGCTGCGATCAAACCGAGTTGTGAGCGACCAAACCCCGCTGCAAGATCCGGATTTATAACAGACAGTTTGCTAGCTTGTTTGTTTTGTGCAGCACTCCCACCTAGATGCGTCATCGCTACTAGTTTCAAATGCACATTTTTGGCCTTTTTTTTTTTTTTCTTTGCATTTTTTTTTTTCTTTCTTAAATCAGGTCCTCAGTATTAAGAGCAACACAGCATCAAGGATCGTTTAAACAAATACAGCATAACTTGAGAAGGCCACGAAGTGTGCCGTTATCTGTCCTATCTCTTTCATTAACATAATGAAGTCTGTCTGAAGGGAGGGAGGATGGGGAGGAACTGGGGGGAGGGAGGGGGGCAGCAGTTCCTGTTCTCTCCGGGCTGGCCTAAAAATTCCAGTAAAAAAAGTCTGAGAGTTTCATTTCGCTTAGAACAGCATGAAGATTTAGGAGTACACACAATATTACCACTGCTTGTATTAACTCAGAACAGTAAACCGAGCGTTACGGAGGGGCTGTGGGTGTCCATTTGCTTCATTTTTGCTTAACCTTCTATAGACTAGTGACCAAATGAGCGGGTCCTTTCGCACTGCCGTCCGGGGAGGTTCCCTCTTTGTTCGGCGGGACTATAAAGCCGTCGCTGCTGCCTCGGCCTAGCTGGTAGTACGTGTGTAGCTGATGGACGTGGTTCCTGGAGCCGAGGTTGGGCATGCTCTTGTAGTAAACATCATCCGCGTCACCGCTTTTTGCCGGCGGGGGGTCGGTCTGGGTGCTGGCGGCAACGCTTTCTGCCACAGGCATGCCGGCCAGCGTGGGCATACTGGTGTACAGAGAATCCCTGTTGGGCGACTGGAGGTCGTCTGTGTGCTCGTTGGTCAGCAAGGGGAAAAAGCTCTCGCTGTTGTCCTGTGGGATGCGCCGCCGGCTGTAGAGATGGGGCTGGGGACCGTCAGCCGAGTACACACGGGGGGGCAGCAGCGGGGCGTCTGACTCCTCGTGGATAAGCTCCAGGCCCAGGCTCTCCTCGTGGGTGAAGGAGGTGGCGTCGTCCAGCACGATGGCGTCGTCCTCGCTCCCGCCGCCCACGCTGTTGACGAGTTTGTTCATCAGGTTTCGGCTCTGCTCGCTGGAGCGCTCGTGGTTGTTCAGGTAGGAGGGGATGTAGTTGGAGGTGAGTTCCTTCAGGATCTTCTTCTCGAGGGCGTTCTCAGTGTGGTTGTACCCGCGGTCGAGGATTTGCACGCAGTTGCTGAGGTACTCGCCGCTGGCGATGCTGTAGCTGTTGCCGTGATTACCATTCAGTGGTAGAGTATCCGTGACACTTGTATCCCTGGCATTGTTCAGAAGCCCCTCTGAAAAACATTACACAAGAGAGGGTGACTTGTACAAACAGGACACTCACGCGGGACGTGCACACTCACACCCTTCCTAGGCTGCCACAGGGCCGGGGAAAAGCGAGCGGCATGCCGTCTCACACTAGGGAGACTGCTTCATCCCAGGTGTGAGGGTGCAGCTCCACTTCGCTGCCTTAAGGCCTCGCCGCTGATTTAGGGACTCGCTGCTGGAAAATGGAGGGCAATAGCTAGCAGGAGGGAATAACCTCTCCCTGCCAATATTTCCTCTCGCTGTTGTGCACTGCTGCTTCCAGAGGGTCTGGGATTTGCTCTGCATGTTCCCTGGGAGCTGAGCGATACATGAGCCTTAACTGGGCCAAAGTGCCCTTGCTGCAAGGCTTTGGCAATTCACCCCAGCTGAGGAGAAGTATTTGCTGTGCAGGTTAATCATCAGCTGAACTTCACTTGGGACTGTATCCTTACTAGCTTTGGAGGGGGGAAATAAATCTGCACTCCCTATCAGAGGAAAGGCATGAGTGCTCTGCTAAAGGCAAGATTCGTGATTAGCTCATGCAGCCAGCACAGGGCCACAAAGTGCTCCTGTCCAAAGCATTTTTGGAAGAAGACTAAGTATCCTACCGCTCATGGCACAAGGGCACAGCCAAAATGATTTACTTGATCTTGGTCAGGTGGGAGTTTCCTAATGCAATTGGTACAGGGGACAGCTGTAACAGGGTCTTGCACAACCTTTAAAAATACTTTCCATCTCCCTTTCCAAGTGAAAGCAGAGATGGAAGGTAGAGCAAGTACCATCACTGCCACAGTATGGCAGACACGGTGGGACACACACTCGGGTTGTTGGGACATTCCTGAGCCTTTCCTGCCAACCTTCTTCACTGCCTGCTGTATTTGAACAGGCAGCCCAGGGAAATATATATGCCTGGCTTGCACAAAGAATGCACAGACAGCTGCATAAATGAGACCTCCGAATTTCAGCAATGAACTGTCCTGCTTGCTACTGTACCACTGACTGCTGTCTCATTTTTACGGGCCTGTCAACACAGCCAGCACAAGGCTGGGGCTTGATGCCATCCTTACTGACTCTATGGGTTATGGTGGAGGAGGTAGGCAAGGGAGAAGTAACCCAGGCCACAGGCAGGTTAAGCTGTCACACACTGTTTTTTGTTTTTGTTTTGTTTTGTTTTGTTTTTTTATCATGGCCAGCAAAGACAGACATGGGAAAGCACAAAATCCCATATCGACCTTTCAGCTAAGGGCTACGGGTGTTGCCGAAAAATCATAAGCAACTCCCAGCAAGCAGCAGTGGATTAGAGGAACCATTAGCCGACAATTTAACAGTTGCTCTTACCATGCTTGGTACATGGCATGTGTACCTTTTGAAAATACAGGATTCGGTCTATATCTGCGATGTCGTAGTTGTTTGCATGACAACAGCTGGAAAGTGCTAGTGCAGGCTTTTTTCTGTCTTTTGAGTAAAATGCCCAAATGTATCTGTCGTCTTTTAGGTTTCTAAAGCTTGGAAGGTGATGCCGTATCCTGGGTTTCCAAACAAACAAGGGGGCTATGCAAAAAGTCAACTAGCTATCACAGACATAGAGCAAAGCCGCTTATTTTCATGTTGGAAGCTCTCCAAATGAGCCACGATGTTTGGGAAGAAATGGGAAGTGAGCATTTCAGGGGGAGGATCGTTTGCAATGGGTGACGGACACGACAGCATCGGTCTGATAGCTGAGTGCCGTATGCATTTAGGCACCAAGCAATGCTTCTGCTGCCAATGCATAGAGCCAGAGGCTGGGAGGGTTCAGAGGGAATTAAATGAAGGCATCACATGTGAAAACAGAGTGAGGTCTGCAATGAAACGAGCCGTATAAAAATACCATGACCTCGCAAATCAAAAGGTGAAGTTTAAAAGAATTGCACGCACAGCTAAATGAGAAACTAGTTTGGGTAAATGATATCACAAAAATGGGAAATAAAAAAGGAAAGCATCATCTAATCTTCACTATATATATATGTACACACACACATATATATATACACACACACATACGCACGCATACACAGATATATACATATGTATATTCATATGCTTTAGATTCTTTTGATTTCAAAACTGTGAGATGAATTTCCTTTATTAACTACATCATCTATATGTGATGCAATAAAAGTGAACTAAAAAAAATTACATTTGATATGCAATGTTTAGCTTTACTCCCATACTTGTCTCTCTGTAGGGCTCTAAACGACAGCATGAAGAAAAGGAAAGAAAAAACAACAAGTAAGCTTACAGCGACAGTAGGAGAAACATGAGTAAAAAGCAAATTGATGATGTGCAGAAAAGAGAGTTAACGGAAATAATTTTCACTGCCCAGAGTACATGAATTTGTTACATGGTTTATTTCAGGTTAAAAATATTGACATTTTAGACAGAAAAGTATTTTACCCGCAATATCAATGCACTACAGTTTTATTGAAAATATAATCACATTTAAAACTTTATCCAATGCCATTATAAATGTTCAGCGTGCAATACATCAAGAAATAATCCCTGGAAATGTTAAGAGAAGTCTAAAGCTGGCAATGGTCATGCTTGAAAAGACAGGCACTGTCAATGTCATTTCCAGAGTCTTAAAATGAATGGCTTTACTTACTGTTAGTTCTAATAACCCCTGGCAGTTGAAACTGAAATCCATTTCCTTGCTAAACTGTTTTGCTGTCCATCCTTTGCAACAGCGCTTTGCAAGAGTATGACTTAGCTCATCATGGGGCTGTTGGCATTTAAAAAACTTTTGCAAGGAAGCGTTTCCTTTCTGTTCTTTTTATAACCAAACACATGGAAAATTACATGGAATTTGCAAGCAAATGTGAGAGAAATAGTAGTTCGAATAATGGCATCTCTAAATGAAGCTGTTGAGAAGGAAGAGTTAAAAAAAAAAGCAGAGCCAGAGATGAAGATGAAGAGCCATTGTTAAGTGTCAGCTTCTCACTTTGCATTGGTCTGCGGGACACTGTGATTTAAGCAGAGCTTGTTACGTGATTTCCTTCTTCTCTTAAACTTATCAATCACAAAAGCAGTTAGGCCATTTTGACACGCTTATGTATCCAAGAGACTGAGTGAGTACATATCCATCAGATGCAAAGGGTAGTGAGTGCTTCGCATGTGCCGCGGGGTGCCAGGCTCCTCACCTACCATCCCCTCCTCCTTTTACACTCTGTCCTGTGAAGGAATTGGTTTTGTCACTAGTACATGGCCTCTGGCCTGTTGGGTTCTCATTCCCAGCTTCTTTGCAATGCTTTTTAGGGCTCCCAGCCCCTGCTGAGACAGGGCAGCTTCAGCTTGAACAGAGAAGGTATTTTAAAGCACAGAACTGGAGAGGAGGAAGGGGAGACCACCCCAGACTCCACATTTGTCGTCTTTATAGAGTCCTGTCTCTGTCAACGGCCAACAACAGATGTGGCAGATGAAGGTGCAAGAAAATCATGTGGAATGAGTTAGTAGGGCAATGTTAGCTAGCATGCCTTCCCTGCACTCCAATCCCAGCCCTTGTAGATGGTGACAGCATCTACTTTTACAATGTGTTATCATTACTTTAGCCAGGTTGCTGGTGCAGCGCCCTTAAAGCGCAGAGAATCCAAATGGGTTTTGCTAAGTTTCCTTTCCACTGCTGGTTCTCCTAATACGCACACTTTGTAATGGAATGCTTTGTCCTAAGATAATAGCCAGTTTGAAAAGCAAAAATTATACCACTTTCTTTGATCATTAATTAACTTGCAGCCTCCTGAACATAATGGGTCGCATTCTGCTGCCTCTGAAGTCAAAGGCAAAGCTCCAGTGGCTCAAGTGGGATCAGTAATGGTCACACTTTCTTTAATATACTAGGGATGTAGGCTGGGCAACTTTCTCTGTCATCCATCTGGCTGTGTTGCACCGAATAGCATGTTCAAATCAGTAACACTATTTGTGGAATAATGTACTGTTAACTCAGGTAATTGTATCAGAATCCAGTCTCATAAACTAGAAGAACATAAGATTATTAAAATGCATGTAAAACCTTTTGTCACGTTTCCGCTCAAATCACTTTTGTCCATTTGAGGCCCCCAGACCTGAACCTCAGGACTTGCCTTAAGTTAGATACTGACCCAGCATTACCTGCTGCCACTTGACTTAAAAGTCCCTCAAATCTCAATATTATCATGCAAGAAGACATACAGAATATGAAAGCTTGTTTTGACATTTGTGATACACTAAAGATCTTAAAATTCAGAGCATTTCATGCTTAACAGTAGCCCCTTTTTAGAAGACATTAGTGGAAGCAAATTTATTGCACAATGTTAGCATAGCTTAAGAAATTTATGAACAACAGAAAGCTCAAACACATGTGCTTCCTTGTGGACTGAATGAAAATACCCTAGTGATACAGTTCAATATCTATGTCTGTTATAAACAATACACTGCTATTTAGCACAATGGGGGTTTTACTGCTTCCATTATAACCATCATTATTCTCCCTTCCTCAGGGATCCTTTATGGGAAATGGGCTCCTTCATTAGAGGGGAGAGGTGAAAGAGCGCTATCCCCCAAAAGAAATGGTAGAGCAGGATGGAGCTGGAAAGCTCCACACCTCAGCTGCTTTTCCATCCCTGTCAAACACCTCAGCCTGGCCTGGGCAGCAGCACCAGGACAGCAGCCTACAAATACTGCCCTGTCCCCACAGCTGGAGCAGACACACACACACTGGTGACAAGAGAATGACCTCAGAGAGGGAGCCTCGGCTGAATACGACTGACTCTACCTGCTCACTTCTCGTGCACAGAACAATGTGTCAAGAGCTCTGAGCTTCCCTACGCCTTTTTCCATTCCTTCTTTCTTTTTACTTTGTAATAGAATATACAAAATGTATTAATGCAAATGGCAAAACATTTCCTCCAACGTCTAAACTCTGCTCTTTGGAGCTGACCTTTGCTCCTCTCTTCAGCTGTCATTTTTTCCTACAAAT